AGTGCCCTTGGGTTTAATCCTCAATACCAAAAATAAAAGGAAAAATGGTTCTGTTCAAAGCCATCTTTGTAGGTAGAAGACATTGCTTCAAAAGTTCCATCTTCAAAATCTCCAAAGGTGAACAGAGCGTTTATTTATTTATTTATCTATTTATTTATTTATTGGTGCTGAGAGTTGAACCCATGGCCTATAACATGCCAGGCAAGTGCTCTATCACAGAATCATATCCCCATATCTGAGCTTTTAAAGGAGAATAGGCAGGGGAGGAGAGGTTGGGAAGTGAGACAAAAGGCAAGCAGTGTACATGTGTAACTTAGTTAACCTATGCTGGACAGGCCAAGGCAGGGAACAATCTCAACTTTCAGCTTCCTTGGTATCAGAGTGGGAACTTGCAGCCTTTTAGCCTCCAATCTCAGCATGAGGAAGCTGTTCTTAATTCAGAAGGGGGGTGGGAATTCAGCATTCATGTTTGTATGGAGTTTAAGTACTTCTTGGTCTATCTATTGAGCATCTAAGAGAACTAAACTCACATGGTTCCCAGTGTCTGAGACGCTGCAGTCACACATTATGTATGAAACCAAGAAACAAATCAGGGCCGAATTCGGAGAGTAACTAATACATTACCTGACAGTAAAGTGGGAACCCAGAGTGTGGGTCAAGTCCCCCCACCTTTTTAATGTTTTTATTAGTACATTATAGTTACATAATATTGAGGTTCACTTGGACATAATCATACATTCGTGGAATATAATTTCCTCCATTTCATTTCCCAGTACTTCTTCCTTCCCTCTCTGTCACTGCAATTTTGAGTATATAAAGGTTTAACTCCATGGGGATGGAAAGCATGCTTAACCTCTAGCCTGGGAGCTGAAATTTTGGAGTCAAGCCTCTTGTCTTCCATTTACTAGCTTGATAACCTTGGACAAGTTGTTAGAGAGCTGGGGCCTTCCAGAAAACTGAGGCAGTGCAAAGGAATCCCTTCAAGCCCGAATGCTTGCAATCGAGTCAGAAAGGTTTCAGACATGTTGCTCAGAGATGAGTTTAACAAAGGGATAAAAAAAGGGAAAGAGGACACTCTCAAGGGAGAGAGCTGATCCTCTCAGGAGAGGGACAGTGTGCCTCTCCTACACTTGTTTTATTGCGGATCCCAGAGAAATTTCCAGAGTCCCACCCAGGCCACCTCTTAACTTTTGACTGATAGCAGTTATACCTCGGATTTTCAAGTCCCCACTGCCATGACAACTCTGTGTCACTTTGGCCCAAGCTGACTGGTTCTAATTGGATTGTGAACCATAGATTCTTAGAGATTTTATGGTTAGGAGGAATTATCCTTATCTCCCTGAGTTTTAAGATCTGGTCTGTCAAAAGAGTCACAAAAGTCTTCCTCTTCAGGGTAACGTGGGTTCCTCTTAACATTATTTGTGGCCTGCATTTCTTCAGCAGGAAACAGGTAGTTTGCTGAGGAATGTGACATAGCCTGTCCACTTAAGCCAGGCAGGCCAACAGGTAAGTTGCTTTTTGAAAAAGAAAGCATGTGGGGGTCAGTTTGGTGGGCCCATTTTATAGAATTATTCCCTTAACCTCATGCTCCCATCACTTGCATCTGTCTGTCCCCTAACAAAGTCACCTATGTATACTCTCTGCACTTACTCACAAAACAGGATAATACTGAATTCTTCTGAGGATCAAAAGCCGCTAAAAACTGAATTTAAAAAAGTTATGACATATGACAGAGGCAGCTCAATGGTAGGGAGCTTGCTTAGCAGGCATGAGGCCCTGGGTTCCAACTCAGGCAAGGAACAATCTCAACTTTCAGCTTCCTTGGGTGAAAGGAGGGGTGGAAAAAGTGAAGCAACACTTTCAGAATGTTTTCATATACATTTCATTAGCATCTAGCAAAAAGCAGCAATGCACATTAGCATTCCGTTTCACACAGAACACTGAGAGCCACTGTCCTAAGGTCACACAGTTGACAAGATCCTGAACCTAGTCTCAGCACTTCTGGGAACTCCCAATCTCGGTCTTCGCACCGGGTTAGTGAGTATTCCCTTATGTAGGCGCTAGGGAGAGTGGAGACCAGCTGAAAAGCTCTGCGAAGTGGTTTAGCAATGAACACCGGAGGGGGTGACACGGTCCACCTGCGCAGAACAGAACGCGAGCCCAGCAGTCATAGTCTCACCCTCACGGTGCCCCTGGACTGCTCCCCTCTCGTGGGGAGGGGAAATGCAGCCTCGCCGCCACCCCAGACCGCCACGCGGGCTTTCTCCCTGGGCCGTAGGGGACAGAGCAGGGGTCGGAGAGGCTAGGGATTAAGGGTGAAACCCAGGGTTCTAAGGAGGATCCAAAGTCCCGGCAGGACGACGGACTGTCCCCCTGCTAACCTAGCTCAGAACGGGAGAAAGGCGACGACCCAGGAAGCGGTAAACCGAGAAACCACACGGACCCAGCCACCGCTACCGCCCCACGGCTCCCGCACTGCCGGGACCGCCAGGCCTCACGGCCCAGCCAATCGGCCGCGTCCTGCCGCGCAGGCGCAGTGAGACCCGCCCCTCCGCACCGCCCGGACACCCCCGCGGCGGACTACAGGTCCCAGCGGGCGGCGCCCCAGCATCCTCCGCGGGCGGGATGGCCGCGCGCGGGGCGGGGGCAGAGGTGAGCGGCGCTGGGCCCCGGCGCCGCAGCCGGCCTTCCTCCCGCGCCGCGCGCCCCGGCGAGGGGCCCGGCTTCCTTGACAGCGGATTCGTAGGCGCTTTTCCCGCCGCGACCGTGGGGTCGTCCCGGCAAAGCTTTGGCCCTGATGGGCAACGGGCCGTTTCACCTTCCTGAGCCGGAATCGCCCGGAGCGCTGCGGGGCGAGCGCCTCTGCGTTCCGACTGGCTCGCGGCCCAACTAGCAGGTCCCTGTGTCCCGACAGGTGCGACCCTGACCGCCCATGCCTGCGGGCACCGGGAGGCGCGGCCTCCCCCAGGGCCTCCACCTCTGCTGGCTCTTCTGCGCTTTCACCGTAGGGCTCTGGTAAGGAGGCGGGGGCCGAGGGAGGCCGGCAGGGCCGGAGGAGAGCCGTCCCCACCTGGGGAGGGGGATGCCTGGCCACGGACCGCTGCGGCAGGGGAGCCTGTTTTCCGGATTCTAATTTTTGCCCCTTCGCCCACCCGCTACAGCCGAGCAGAGGCTTCCGTGCGGGAGGAGAAGCAGTCAGGTGGGTGGCTGCCCGACCCCACGCCCCCGTGGTTTATTGTTTTGCTTGTTTTCCCTACACACCCGGAGCTCGGACGGAAAAGGGTGGCACCGCACGGGACGAGGCCAGCGCTGGCCTGGGATCTGGGTGCGTAGAGCTTCGGGGACAAACGTTTTCTGAGTGGTCTGGGCCGGCATTTCTTTCCCCTTTTAGTGAGCACCTCGACTTTGCCGTGCTGGCTGGGAGAAGAGTTCGTGGTGGCAGAAGAGTGTACTCCGTGTTCCAGTTTTCAGGCTGTGAGCATCCCTCCCCTCCCCCGTTTTCCCCCAACATCTAGCCAGTCCCCAAGTCTCATTAAGCATACTTTTGCATCCTCTTTTCTTTCTCCTTGCAGTGTCAGTATACTTCCAAATCTGAACTTGTCTTCCCCCTGAAAACATGTTCCTCTCTTTCCAAGTTAATAACAGCGTTCAGCTGATAACCAGGTTTTGTTCTGCTTTTGTTTTTTGTCTTGCTGTATTGGGGATTGAACCCAATCCTACCATCTAGCTCTCTATCATCTAGCCTCATCCCCAGACCTTTTTTTATTATTTTGAGACAAGGTTTAAGTTGGCCAGGCTGGGCTGGAACTTGAGCTCTTCCTGCCTCAGGCTCCCAAGTTGCTGGAATTACAGGCATGCACCTCCATGCCCTGTGGTTCTGTTCACTTTTAATACACTATGCTCTGGAATCTGTCCTTATGTCCTTCTACACTCTTACCCTGAAGTGTTTTTTCCAACACACATTTCTAATCATGCAACCACCGCCTTCAGCATGCACATCAGAGCTCTTTGTTAGCTCTGTTTTCTGGCCAGCTCTGACCATGGCATTTGGGCACTTGCCCTTTTGAATGGCAACCTCTCTGTTTCTCCTGCTGCCTCTTCCTAACACATGCTTTGGTTCTTTTCTCCCGGCAGAAAACCATCCCTGAGTGTGGTTCCACAGGTTATGTTGAGAAAATTACATGCAGCTCCTCTAAGAGAAATGAGTTCAAAAGGTAAGGGCTTTTCTTTTCTTGTAGACTAATTATCTCCTTTCCTCCTGTGACTTCATCCTGGATAGCATGACATGTTGGAAAGAGGGAATTTGGAGCTAAATTACTTAAACCCAAGTCCTGGTTTTACTTCTCAGCCCTGTTATTGGCCATATTTTCTCTTCAATAACATCAGCTAATGTTATCTTTGTTATCTTACCAGATGATGTAAACACTTTATAAGGCTGACTCTGTTTTCCTCTTTTTCTTTTGGCTGTTACCTCCTTGATGGGGCTGAAGTAGAAGGGAGATGGTAAGGAGAAGCTGTCTGGCCTTCCCTGGGAATAACTGTTCCTTCCTATCCTCAGCTGCCGCTCAGCTCTGATGGAACAACACTTATTCTGGAAATTTGAAGGGGCTGTGGTGGGTGTGGCTTTGGTCTTCGCATGCCTTGTCATCATCCGTCAGCGACAACTGGACAGAAAGGCTCTGGAAAAGGTCCGGAAGCAAATTGAGTCCATATAGCTACATTCCACCCTTTTATCCTGGATCTTACAGACCATATCTCAGAGAAAGTGAAATGGACTGATTTGCGCCTTTGGTTCTTAGGAATCTTGTGGTGGTAACCCCTTCTCCCCATCTTCCTCTCCATGTCATTAATAAGCACAATAAAAAAGAGTAAGTTGGTTTCTTTCTCCCTATAGTAATTTGTTTTGGGACAGGAAATCATGGGAGCAGAGAGAAAAGGGGGTGGCAATCTCCCAAGTACCTACCTTCCCCCCTTTTACTACTTATTTAAAACTTCTGGGATATAATTTTAACTAGAAAATTTATTTCTTAGTCAAAACTTTTGTTTCCCTCAACCCTATCCCCCAAGAAGAAATAAAATCACAGATACATAACAAAAGTATTTGAGGTACTCTTCACACAGGCTAACTGGGCCTCAGGATACAGATATCTCCTATGTTGTCCTGAGGTGATTCAGACCCCCAAGAGCAAAGACACCTGAGTGGGAAGACCAGGGGGAAGCAGAGCTATAGGGGAACCCTGGGTTCCTTATGGTAAAGGGGAGTGGGCCAGGAACCTTCCAGCTCACATCTCATCTGCATGCAGCACGGTTCTGACATGCCCACCAGACCCAGTCTCCACGCCCCTCTTCTCTATCAGTGTTCTGGTCGACGTGTTTGCGATCTGGGCTCTAAGTGACTCTCCCATTTTGGACTCTTCCACTGGAGTCTCTCGACTTTCTGTCATATCCACATGGGTCAAGATATTTCTGGAAATCACTGTGAGGTGAAGGAAAAAGCAAAGAGTAGAATGTTTCTCTTGGGTGGAGCACCCTAGACAGAACAGGCAGGACTTCTCTCCCACTTCTTGACTACTGTGCGCAAAGCCCCCTTGCTCACCAGGGAGCTTCTCACCTCCACGAGGCTGGTAGTCCTCAGGCCCCGCTTCTGGTAGACCCTGAAAGGGACTGAAGCTGGGCAGGATGATGAGAACCAAAGAAAAAAGAAGGATCTGGAAGAAAGCAAGACACTTGGGCTGTGGGGACAGTCAAGGAAGGGAGCAGAGGGCAGCTGGGGTTTTCTGGGTTGGGAAGACTGATGTAGCTAGGGAATGGGGGGTATCAGGATGGAAGTGTGGGGGGAGACAGATGATGGAGGCTGGGGGAGATGGGAGGGAGACAGACTGATGGTACCAGAACGCAAGTGCTTGTCTGGGCAGCTTTGTTTGAGGTTTGAGCAATAAGCGTCTGGAGCTGACGGAGCTGAGCCACCAAGGAGCTGGGAAAGGAGGAATAAGGAGCTACCATCATCTGGGAACCATGGCCCAAGAATGGTGCTCAGCACTTCCCCACCCCCGGCACATACATGGTGTTTTCACTCACAGGTTATGTCTCTCCAGCTCCTGGACTTTCTTCTGTAGCTCCTGGTTCTGTGCAGAACAGGCTGCCACCCTAGGGAGTGGGGAGAAGCAGGACAAGGCTCAGCAATCTGAGTCCTTCACCTTGCCTACCTTGGTGAGGAAGGGAACCAGACATAGCCTCCTTCAGAAATGTGATCCCAAAGTACCTGTTCTCCAGCCCATCGATGTATTCTTTCTTCCGTCGCCGACTGTCCTGAGCTGACTGCTTGTTACGGATTTTCCTCCTGACCTTCTTGAGGATTCTCTCCTCTGCCTGGTAGCCGGGGGTGTGTCAATTCTGGGCCCTTAACCTCCCTCAACTGCCCAACTTTTCCCTGGGATCCTGGCTTCTCAGAGGCCATAATGGATCCTCTGGACTGAGACGCCCTTTGGGAAAGGGAAGGGTGTTACCTTGGTGAGGGGCAGGTGAGAGGGCAGAGAAACCCCTTCCTGCCCCAGCAGACGCTTCTCCTCATCTGTCAGGAACAGAGTTTGACAGGGCAGCTGGGGGATATTGAAGATAAGATGGGAATGGGGACAGGGTCATCACATTTTCAGCACACAGCAGCACCCCACCATGCATTCTGGAGAGTGCTTAATATTTGCACTAAGGAGTAACTCCAACCTAGAGGTGAGCTGAGGGCCAGGCACAGTGGCACATGCCTGTAATCCCAGCAGCTCAGGAGGCTGAGGCAGGAGGGTCACAAGTTCAAAGCCAGCCTCAGCAATTTAGGGAGGCCCTGTCTGTAAGTAAAAAATAAGAAGAGCTCCTTCAGTGGTTAACAACCCCTGGGTTTAATCCCTGGTACAAAAAAAAAAAAAAAAAAAGAGCCCAGGGCAGAGGCTTGAGACAGGCCCTAGATAGAGCCAAGGGATCTCCTGAGGCTGATAGGGGAGAAGGTGTGGTTTCATCATATCTTCTGTTCAGAGACTTGGGACCTGGACATTCTGATCAAGCTAGGGAGTGCCTGCTCTGATCCCTGTTTCCCACAACTTGGGAGCATTTTAAGAGGACATGGAGTACTCACTACAGTGGGGTTTGCTCAATTTCCTTACAGCAGAAAGAAAAAATCCTAACAGCAGGTTAACAATCCAGATCCAGCCATTAACTTCCATTTGGCAGAGTATGTTATCCAGTGCCCGTCAACCACAGAACCACAAGGTCTGAACTCCACTTTCAGGTTCTGCCCCCTCTTAGACAAGGAACTCCTGTAGGCAGTCACACTGAGTGACTTCCCACAGTAAAGCATGCAGAGTAGACATTGGACAGATGGTGACTTCGGTTAAGCTGGACCCATCAACGGAGTAAGCTGCATTCTTTTTTGAAAGATTTATGCTTGACTTTGTGACTTAAGAATTTGTTTTAGCTTTTAGCTAAGCCACGCACTTTTTTTCTTTTTGCAGTACTGGGGATAGCACCCAGGGGTACTTTTTACTTTGGGACAAGGGCTCACTAAGTTGCCCAGGCTGGCCTCAAACTTTCAATCCTCCTGCCTCGGCCTCCCATGGAGCTGGGATTACAGTTGTGGGACACTGTACCTGGCTTGACTTGGCTTCTGGTTCAAGCTTCACCCACAAGTTTAGATGGAAGCTAGAACCTGTTCCTTGCTTTGGGCTTGGGAAGTATTTCCCAGGATAAAGGAAGACACAGTGACCTGAATGTAGCCACCTTTCCAACCTCACTGCACAATCTCCAGCCCCCTCAGAAGGCTTCTGATAGGGTTCCTGAAGAGCTGGCCCCTGGGTATTTGCTACAGTGGAAACACTGTTGCAGTTTCTTCTCCATCACTCTGTATCCACCAACCAGTTGGATTCCCAGGCTACTGTCCCAATTCTGTCCTGACCCAAGGCTGAAACAATGGCTCTGGCTAAGCATGCAATGCACACAAGGTGTGGGCTTTCTCCAGAGCCTTGTCCCTCATCCCAACTTAACTGAGTCATCACCACCTTATCCACACGGGCTCCCTCTCTCACCCCCTTGTCCTTTCCTGCTCCTAAAGTTGCTTTCATTGCCTTGGTCTTCAGGCTCAGTGCCATGAAAAGTGCGGCAAAGACACAGTTCCTCATCAGCTTCCCCCTCCCTCATCCCCTGTGCCACTGTCTGTGAGGATACATGTATGTATCACAGAGCACTGGTCTGACGGACCCCAAGACTTACAAGTGTGGAAGGAGGCACTGGGGCTGCAGTGCTTCTGGGCAGGATGTGTGCATGAGCATCAAAGGTCAGTTCACTGACCATGCAGGCATCTGGCACCATGAATTGTGGGCTCCACTGATCTGAAGGAGACACAAGAAGCTGGGACAAAAGAGAGGTTCACCCTGAGGCACCAGGGGCTGGGTAGTGGCATTGGCTGGGGAAATCCCCTTAACCTCATGGCTAGGGCTGGACCTCTTCCCACAAAGAAACTGACCTAGCTGAATGGAGATGAGTCCTAAGGTTGGCCTGGCTTCCCCCTGCATCCTCTGCAGGGCCTCTGCCTCATAGACAACCTCATAGAGGGCAGGAGAGCTGGGTGCCTGCAGGGCAGGGGGACTGTCTGAGAGGCCAGGATCCTCAGAGTTGCCACTGTCACTGCCAGGAGATGCTTCTGAACAATACACCTCATTGGGATCAATGAAAAGCTTCAGGAAATCTTCAGATTCACTCTCTTGAAGTCCCTGTAGTCGGAGAAGGGTATACAGGTATGCCAGGAAGTCCTAACTGGCATACTTGTATATCCTACATCAGATTTAGATCCTTCTTTCTTCAGTTTCAGGCTTTTCTTGGTGATGGGGATAGTTACAACTAATATCTGTTTTGGGTTCACTGTTTTCAGGTCTCTTTTCAAGTGGGTGCTGAAGCCTCTTGGGTCTTCTTAGCCCAGAGTTGTGTCTCAAGCCCACTTCCTTCCATTCCCATTCATCACACTTACACAGCCATGGCCCCCACTAGAATCCCAGCCATGTAGCGCCTGTTCTTGTAGCCTAGTCACTGGAACCTCTGGAGGGGAACAGTTGAATCCCAGTTCCAGTAAGGATCCTGTTGAGAAGATATCTTCTGGGGGCTCCAGCAACACGTCTAGCAGGTCAGGGGATCCTAGCTCCATGCTTCTGTAGGAAGGTGTGCAGGAAAGTTACAGAAGGGAGATGCTCCTGTCCCTACCCCCACATCTTCTGGGCTTCTCTGCACCCTCTTCCATAACCCCCTTCCTTACCTGCTGCAGCCCCCACACTGGCCACCGGGAGACTTCGCCTCTGGCCTATGTCTTACGTTCAGAAACCGGGTATTACCTGCTGACCGCCCCAAACACTACACCTTTTCTTTCCTCCAGGATCTCACATCCTGGTCCTGCCCAGCCAAACCCCGCCCCCCGCCAGACACCCGGAAAGCGGGTGGCACCTTGCACGGAGCCAGGCTGGGGGCGCTGTATCTGGAAACTGGGGTGTGGGTCGCCGAACGTGCGCACACGGGGTTGAAGGAAAACAGGTAGCCGCGCCTTCGGTGCTTCAGGGTCTCCCAGCGGCAGCTCTTTCTGAGAGTTTGAGGTCTCCTCGGGGAAGACTGAGACGGCGGTGACCGGAGCACGACATCCTTGAGTGCCTGTTCCCCAGCCATCGCTTTTATTGGAGGGAGACCAACGCAGGATCGCAAAAACAAAAGTGCCAAGAGTCACGCCCCAAACTTGGAGCAGGCCTCTCCTCGGCGCTCTGCCCACGCCGAGTCCCAGTGGGAAGCTGAAGACCGGAGGGTTGAGGGACGTGGCATCAAGCCAATGGGATTATCGGCTCAAGACCGACTCCTCCGTAATTGGTCAGAATGGTCGGAGTCCGGCCAATGGGGCCGCAGTATTTGTTTGGGAGGCGGGAATTTGGGTCTGCGCGCTGAAGGGCGGGGCAGAAATCAGAAAATGAGCCGTGGGGGCGCGAGGAACGTTTGGGGGCCCTGGGTCGGAGCCAGGTCCGACCCAGGGTTTGCTTACCACATGGCTCTGAAGCCCCAGGTTATTACCTGGGACTAAATAACCCGTTGGCTCGAATTAAGAGGGCTTTGCGGGGACCGAGGGGACGAGGGGATTGCGCAATCGCGGGTTTTCCAAATCGTCCTCCGAGCATTTACGCGACCGTGCAGACGCAGTCGCTGACCTGTCACGTAACGGAGGGACAGGGCCTGGAAAAGTGCAATAAGTCAAAAAACCTCTTGCGTTTGGTTTGGGAATTTGCGTGTGATTACCAGCAAACGGCTACTTCTGCCTCCGAGTTGCTGGGGTCACCGGTGTGTACCTCTGTGCCCGGCTCTCGGTTCCGTTTGGTGTGGGTGCTGGGGACCGAACCCAGGGGCGCTTTAACACGGAGCTGCATCCCCAGCCCTTTTATCTTTTGAGACATGTTCTCGCTAAATTGCTGAGGCCTGGAGTTTGCCATCCTCCTGCTTCAGTCTCTGAGCCGCTAGGATCACAGGCGTGTGCCAACACTACCGGCTGGCTTTTGCTTTTTAAGATAGGTGTCGCTGGGCGCGGTGGCACATGCTGTAATCCCAGCGACTTGGGAAGCTGAGGCAGGAGGACTGCAAGTTCAAGGCCAGCCTCAGCAATTTAGGGAGACCTTATCTCAAAAATAAAAGGGGGGCTGGGGCTGGGGCTCAGTGGCAGAGCGCTTGCCTAGCATGTGTGAGGTACCAGGTTGGATCCTCAGCACCACAGAAAAATAAATAAAATAGACCGCCTATAGCCCAGGATCACAAGTTCAAAGCTCAGCCTCAGGAACTCAGTGAGGCACTAAGCAACTCAGTGAGGCCCTGTCTCTAAATAAAATACAAGTAGGGTTGGGGACGTGGCTCACTGGCTCAGTGGTCGATTGCCCCTGAGTTCAATCCCCGGGCACTAAAATAAATAAATAAAATAATCAGGGCTGGGTTTGTGGCTCAAGTGGTAGAGCAAGCACTTGCCTGGCACATGTGAGGCACTGGTTTCTATCCTTAGGACCACATATAAATAAATAAATAAAATATTGTGTCTGTCTACAACTAAAAATTAAAAGAAATAAAAATATAAAATAAAGGCATTCTGTCCATCTACAACTACAGAAAAAAGGGGAGCGGGGACTGGGGATGTAGCTCAGTGGTAAAGTGCCTCTTCAACCACCAGTACAAAAAGAGAGAGAGACAGAGAGAGGGAGAGAAGGAGGCACTCTGACTCCATTTCTCCACTTGTTGCCTGGGCTGGGCTCAGACTCCCTAATAGCTGGGACTACAGGAGTGCACCACCATGCCTGGCTGCATTCTTATAGTTTAAAAAACTGTTTTCATAAACACTATTCTTATTTAATCTACAACAACTCAGAGGCAAATAGAGCAGGTGATATTTTGCCAGTTTTATCTATGAGAACAGACAATTAGAAAATAGTTCATGACCAGATAAATAATAATACCAATTGAATTTTTTTTTCTTGGATCTAGTGTCTGATGGTCCAGGAATCACTTCAAGTAAAATGATAGAGCCATACTGATATAGCTATGATTGTCATCTGCCTGCCTCCCAGTAATACTCCAGATATAAGGTAGCTGGGTAAGCAAGGCAGGAAAGTTTCGGGTTTTTGTGGTGCTGGGGATTGAACCCAGGGCCTTGTGCATGAAAGAAAAGCAACTTACCAACTGAGCTATGGTATGATTCACCCTGTGAAGATTTAAACAGGCTTAGGGTAAAAACAGGAAAGTGTTAATATTGAATGAGCAGCTATTATATGGTCACATTTTCACTTTATTGGCATGAGTTTCATAGCATCACAGAGCACACAGAGAGGTTACTAACTTCCTCAAGGTTACTTTGTAAGTACCTGAACCAAGATTTGGATACCTGAACTAACATTCTTCACATTATATTAAACTATCTTACTGGGCTTTCTCAAATTTCCCAATTATATCTTTTCCTGTTCATCTCTGCATCCTGGTCAGGTAGTAAAGAGACAAAGCAGGCTTCTGAGATTGAAGCATAGCTCTACAAAAGCAGATATGTTCTTGTTTAGATCTTTCAGAGAGCAAGGGAGGTGGTTAAATGCATTTTGAGGGGCTTCCTGAGGCTTAATGTGCAGAGATGATTAAGTGGAAAATATAGGCAGTTTCTGTTTATATTAGAACTGGAAGGAAACTGCCATCATCTGCTAGTTTAACTTCCCTCTTTCCCTGATTATCCAGCTCTGCAGAGGGAGAATAACTTTCCTTAAATCACATATCAAATTAAGGTAAAGTTCAAGAGATCTGTTGAACAACATGGTGACTACAGTTAATACTGATGTACATGTGAAAATTGCTAAAAGTATATTTGAAGTGTTCTGTCACAAATATGTAAGGTAATGGATTTGTTAATTAGCTTGATTCAGCCATTTCAAATTCTGTGTGTATATATACATTTCAAAACATCTTGTTGTACACCATAGATACATGCACATTGTTTTGGTACTGGGATTGAACCCCGTGCTGCACTACCACTGAGTGACATCCCCATCCCTTTAAAAAAAATTTTTTTTGTAGTTGTAGATGGATAGCATACTTTTACTTTATTTGTTTATTTTTTATGTGGTGCTAGCAAGTGCTCTGCGTCTGAGTTACAACTCCAGCCCAACTCTTTTTATTTTTTAAATATTTTTTTAGTTGATTTTTTAAAATATTTTTTTAGTTGTTGATAGACCTTTATTTTATTTATTTGTATGTGGTGCTGAGAAACGAACCCAGTGCCTCGTGCATGCTAGGCAAGCATGCTACCACTGAGCCACAAGCCCAGCTCCTCATTTTATTGTTTTTATAATTTATTTTTTAGTAGGTGGACACAATATCTTTATTTCTTTTTCTTTCCTTTTTTTTTTTGGTGGTGGTGCTGAGGATCAAACCCAGTGCCTCACTGGGTGCTAGGTGAGCACACTACCACTGAGCCACAACCCCAGCCCCCTTTTTATTTTTTTATTTGAGGCAAGTTTGCTTAGGGCTATGTTGCTTAGGGCCTAGCTAAATCTGGCCTCAGACTTGCAATCCTCCTGCCTCAGCCTCCCAAACTGCTGGGATTATAGGCCTGTGCCACTATATCTGGCTCCTTTTTTTTTTTTTTTTGTAGTTATTATTTATTTATTTATTTTGGTGCTGGGAATTGAACTCAGGGGCACTCGGCCACATCCCCAGCCCTATTTTGTAATTTATTTAGAGAGAGAGTCTCACTGAGTTGCTAGTGCCTCGTCATTGCTGAGGTTGGCTTTGAACTCATGATCCTCCTGCCTCAGCCTCCTGAGCCGCTAGAATTGTTACCGTTGCTGACCGGTGACGAGTCCTTGCTTCCCCAATATTGAAGTATAACACCAGAGAAGCAAGCCGAGGCAAGGTCAGAGTGGAAAGTAGAAGTTTATTAAAGGACAGCAGAAAAGACTTCTCCCGGAGGAAGAGGAGGAAAAAGGGGACCCAAGAGATGGAATCCGTGGAAGTGCGGCTGTTTCCCCTTTTTATAGTTCCTTCAGTGATGGAATGTAGGTGGGAAGGCCCGAGGGGTGGGACACAGGTGGGCCAAAGAAGTAATCTGGGCAGGAAGGACTTCTGAGTCAGCATCTTCAAGTTTGCTGGGGGCTGTTCATTAACACTTCTTTGGGATGGGCTCTGGCCTTAGGCTTTTCCCGGACTTCATTAACATTCCCAGAGTTGTTCAACTTTTCCTGGAATTCATTCTCTACATGGCCTCCATTTTAGATCTCACTCGATATTAGACCCGATTTACCTAACTACACTGACTACCTAACTTTAAATCTGGCTTCAGAATTACAGGCCTGTGCCACCGCGCTGGCTCATTTTTTATTTTGAGACAGGATCTCACTAAATTGTGGAGGCTGACCTCAAACTTGCAATACTCTTGCCTCAACGTCACCAATAGCTAGGATTACAGGAGTGTGCCAAGTACTTGGGTATATATAAAATTTTTATATGTCAATTTAAAAATTAAAAAAATACATAAAATTAAATTACATGTATATAAATTAAAGTATAATTGGAACTAGAATTCATGTTTCCTCAGTCTGTCATTATTCCTTGTTAATTTTACTAATTACCAATAATATTTTTTATTTTTTTAATAATATTTTTTTAAAAGAGAGAGAGAGAGAGAGAGAGAGAGGAGAGAGAGAGAATTTCAATATTTATTTTTCAGTTTTCGGCATACACAACATCTTTGTATGTGGTGCTGAGGGTCGAACCCAGCATCGTGCGCATGCCAGGCGAGTGCGCTATCACTTGGAGCCACATCCCCAGCCCCTAATAATATTTTTTAAAAAATATTTTTAATAGACCCAATGTCTTTATTTTGTTTATTTATTTATTTTATGTGGTGGTGAGGATTGAACCCAGTGCCTCACATGTGCTAGGCAAATCCTCTACCACTGAGCCACAACCCCGGTAATTACCAATAATCTTGAAAGTATAATTTGCCATAATCAAAACATAGCATGCATAATATTTCCTTGAACAATCTGGAGTTGCCTGTAATAATAACTTTTATTTAAAATTTTTTTTAGTTGTAGATGGACACAATACCTTTATTTTATCTGTTTATCTTTATGTGGTGCCAGGAATCTACCCCAGTGCCTCACACATGCTAGACAAGCCCTCCACCACTGAGCCACAACCCCTGCCCAACATTTATTTTTTAATTAAGAGCTTAACAGGCCTGGCACAGTGGTTCACCCCTGTAATCCC